TCCAAGAAGTTCGTCCCGGTCAGCTTACTCTTCTCAAGGATTGATCGCATTGTCAAACTCGGTACGATACCGGTTGACGCCATGTCCTACAGAAAAAGACAAAACAGAACGAACAAAACAAAGTGCTCGTCCAGACCGATCGGTCCACGAGTGAGGACCGTTCAGTCTAAACCTGTCGGTCCAACCAACTTGCAAAACCCTAGACCGATCGGTCCAGAGGACCAGACCAAATGGTCCAGGCGAAAACATGATCAGATCTCGTTTTCGTCGTTTCAGTCCCATTTCAGACCCGTATTCGACCCGGTTTTCGCCTGCGAACTCAGAATTCGAACCTCTTGCACACCATGCAACAAAGAACATGTAATCTACTCTAGATCTACAATCAATTCATGCATAGCATCCAAAAATCAAATACGGATTCAAACGATTCAAATCCTATAATGTGCGTGATCGGGTTCTAACAAAATCATACAGCGAAATCAGGCTCTGATACCACTGTTGGGATTCTGAAATCTCTAGAGCGAATCTAATTCCTAAGAGATCGGTTCTAGGGTTTGTGCAGCGGATGTAAAACAAAATTTTTGATGAAACCCTAAAACCTAGCATGCATGATCTTGCAGAAACGTTAGAACACTTACCTCAATCGATCCGGGGCCTGTATCAACTGAAGAATTCGTCCGATTACTTAAGGCAGGAAGAATACCTCGCCCTCTACACGTATCCACACGGCGGAAAGGATTCCAACGGTTGGAACTGGTCTGCTAGGACTGAAGAACACGTTCCTCTTTGCGCAAGGGTTTCAAGGATTAATCTCTTAGGTTTTTCACTCTCAAAACCTCTCAAAAGATTCCGAAAGTCGTGCCAAAGAGCTTAGAAGGCGTTCTCCAAAGTTCTTTACCCTTAAAACCCTAATTTGAGTGAGTTTAGGAAATCCCGACGTCTGGACCGATCGGTCTGGAGCTTATTACGTGTGAACCGATCGGTCTAGGGATTTGGACCGATCGGTCTGGAACCATTTCCGGACCGACCAACATTTGGACGTTACCTCTAGACCGATCAGTCTACATCTGGACCGGTCGGTCTGGCCTCCGCTCGCTCGGGAAATTCTCGTCTTTTCTCGCGCATTTGTCCTTTCTTGTGTATGACCCTGTAGGCTCATCCGATATAGCAGTATAACCCGAAATCTCCATTTCGTTTATACAAGTCATAGGTGGTCTCTAGAAAGACACTATGACTACCTATCTCGAATAGAGTTTGTTCGTGATCTTACGAACGTCACTGATGATTCGGGTTGATGATCCTTGTGTATCACGATATCATGTGTCGAACATAAGGCATGGACATACCACCTTATCTGATTCGACTGCTTTCTCGTTCACTGAGTTCGACTGTTTGAAATAGACGACTTTTGTCTATAGTGCGGCCACACATTTCTACAGTCTCGCTCACACGAGAGGCCCAGTGATATCTCTCTCTTTTACGAGAGGTACAAATCTCGTCTTGACTATCTACAATCCAGCACATGATTCGTTTCGTACCTGATACACGCCTTTATAGTCCTCCTGTTAAGCAGGACATTTGACGTATTCAAAGTACGCAACTCCTCATGTTGGATTCCGTAGATATCTCAGGTCTTACGATCCAATCATGGAACCGTCATTTCAGATTCAAGTCATACCCCTAGTTCATGTGACAATCTCATGCGGGTCAATCCAGTATTCCGTTATCCAACGAATACCTATGATTGTGATCATATCCAATACCTATGATCATCTATATGATCATCAATCACACATTATACTAGTCTTAGTATATCATTATTCCCATAATGACATATGACTAGGGAGTTTAATATTGTTCATAACGATACATGGATTTCATAACATATTAATTATGCACAACATGTAATAAATAAAACACTCATCCATAATCCATAGAAAGTGTCAATACATCAAATGTATCAAAATAAAGCTCGCAAAACAGTACATCATAGAACACTAAACCAACAAAAAGAATATACAAAACATATTTTTACTTAGATTTAAACTCAATCGTAAAGAGGAGATTCACCCATACTTCTCCGATCCTCTTTGAGATTTAGTTGGATCAAAAATACCATTAACTTATCGATTATAAAAAAAATCATAACAAATTAGAATTTTTCCAAAGGAAGGTAAATAAATCCATATGGCCAAAATAACCTCAATCTACTAAGAGAGTTTGAGACCAACACTATTAGGGAAATGTCTATTTTTAGTTCTTTCTCCCATTGGAGAACCAGTCACAAAGGAACGAGCTGGCCAGTTCTCGGTCAGAGAATCTAGTCATCGCCATCTTTATCCAAAAACCCATATGTCGATCTCCCTGAGAAGTAAGGAAGTGTCCTTGTGTTGTCGACTGTGAATCCTGCAATTCCTCTACGTCCAAATCGTGTAGATCAGAATCTGCAAAAGAATACATACTCCAATCCCACCCACCGAGTATTCAAGCCAAAATATCGTCCCATCCTCCAGGACCTCACACTCAAATAATAAATGGTCCCCAGACTCCATGGTTCGATGACAAAACACGCATTCCATATCAATCTCCAATCCCCATCGACTTATACGATCCTTAGTAGGACATCGATTAAGAAAAAACATCTAAGTAAGAAATGCATGTTTTAGCGTATGATATTTACACGAGATTATCTTACTCCAAACCTTACGTTGATCATGTTGGAGTTAATCATGTTCCTTGTGGGGAGTTTTTTTTATTTGGTCATTTATGATTTTTTTTTAATTTCAAATTTGAATAAGTTCTAGAATATCTAGAGTTAAGTATGATCTTCCAGATTTTTTGTTTTGGTTTGTTTATTATCATTCATTATAAATAAGAATTATGAGCTCAATAAATAAGAGCATCAGTTGAAAAAATCTCTCTTCTCTCTCCAACCACTAAATCCTCTCGTCAACTATTCCCTATTTTTTTTCCATTAGTTTTATTTTTCCAAAATGAAAAACCCGAAAAATAAATGCATGAACTCGTGTTAATTAATTTCTAACAAATCAGGACCCCTCAATTCTTTTCATACTTCAGAAGAAGGAAATACAGATCTGCTGGTGTTACCCACTGTCCAGCAATATTGATCCTCCTCCTCCTCCGATAAAGACGTGGCAACTAGAAAGGAGAGCCTATGAGCGGAAGGTATGCATGCATTTCATAGGAGAATCTTGAATTTGGTGAAAACTAAATACAGCTCATGCAACTCATGCAATAGGTGCAGATGATTTGTAACGCGGATAAGAGAACCCTTGGGCATTAGTGCGCAAAGATGGTGATCCCATATGATGGAGTTAAGTCGGGAAGAAGGAGCGATGAAGATAAAATCGGTGTTCGACGTTTCAGAAATGGATAAACCCTAATTTTGCCTATCCAATATGGAAATACTGTGATTCGAAACCCTAATTATGTTTGGGATGAGATTCCTTCGTTGCCTTATCCTGCTTACTCGCTCCTTCACTCCAAGTTCAAGCCTCTCACTTCATCTCTCCATTCTCTCTTTCTCTCTTTTATTCCGAGGATGGCGCCACATCCAAACTCCTCATCAACCTCCAAGTTCCGCCTTTTTGTGGCTTTTTTTTGTGGATCTCTCTTGTTTTTCTATAAAGATGTCCTTTTATATTAATTCTTTTTGTTATATTGTGATATAGAACCCACTTAGATCATCTTTTTCAAAAGATATAAATCAAAACTTTTGTAACAAAATAAAAAATTATTTTCAATTCGAAATAATAAGATTTTATTTGATTTGATCTTGTTAGGATAGACCGTTTCCGATAAATCTAATGATCTCGATAAGTATTATGATAAAAAATGTTTTTTTTTTAAAAAAATTTATGAAACATAATTTATTTAAATTCGATTATCAAGGTTATTGAAACACGATCATCTCTCACATATAAACGATCATGTATTCGAAAGGAACTTTCTTGAATACCAAATGAACTTAGAGAGATATGGGAAGAGAGAGAATTATATAAATACTCTTTTTTTTTTTGTTCTATGTTCTGTGTGTCAAATGAATTAATCTAATACTTTTATTTATACTAGATAGAAGAGTATCACATACTAATGATGAAATAAACCAGATTTGATTATGATGTTATTCTTGATATCAAATAACTATCATAAATGATTGATTTGTTCTTTTTTTTTTTGCAAATTTTATTTTGATTTAATTTTTTATATCAATCAACAATCAATACTCAATATTATGTAGATTTTATTTAAGATTTTCTAAAACTTTTTAGTTTTTATGGGTGAGACTTTTCATGAGCTAGACCCATTTTATTTCGTTCAAATAAATTCAGATCCAATCCCGCAAGAATCAAATGTTTTTGAGTTTGGTAAAGCCTAAATATATAGTATGATAGTTTTAAGTTTTGCAATGCAAAATTATTTCATTAAGAGTATACCGTGTTTAGAAAGATAGTTTTTAGTTTTGAACCTTCTATAGTGGTATATTTTTTCGGAAACACGTTGTCAAGCATGTGTATGTATGTATAACTATAGAAAAGTAAGTAAATATTTGCATGAATGTGTATATATACATTATGTATATATATATATTATAAATTTATTGTCCTTTAATTTTTAATTTATTTTTCTTAATTTTTGAAAAATAGTTATAACTAAATTTTAATTTCTGTGACAGTTAACGTTATACTCTATGTGGGAAATTCGGTTATACCACATCATCTACCGTTAACAATTATATATCGTTTTGTATCCAATTATTATTTTTTCAATAATAAAAGTTAATTATTTTTAAATATTAAATATTTATATTTTTTGAAAATCGAAAAATTCTAATATGAATTTCATAGCTATTTGAAATTTCAGTGAGTTTTTTGGATTTTTCCTAAAAAACATTATTTTATGCAACATATTGGTAATTGTGGATCTCATGAAAACTGCAGTTCTAGTTGTACATCAATATACAGATTTCTTTTATAAAAAAAAAATTGGTGCTTCGAAATTAATTTCTCAAAACTCTATTCACAAGTCATTCCTCTTAACATTTCAAAATAATTAAAATGATGAAGCGGAAAAGGAAGAGCAAAACAGGCGCAGTAGGTTACGCGACCAAGTACTGCTGCAAATGGGCAGTTCTCTTCTTGTTCTTGAGTTTACGGAAAGCCGAAGACTCGATCTGCCTGATCCTTTCACGGCTGACGCCAATGGCCTCCCCGATCTCTTGCAATGTCTTCATCCTCCCGTCTTCCATCCCGAACCTCCAGCGTATCACCTGCTTCTCCCGCTGACTCAACGTGTCCAACACCATCTCCAAGTCCTTCCTCATGAACTGCTTTATCAGAATGTCTTCCGACGTTTCCGCCTCAGGATCCGCTATCACTTCCTGTGTAATACCATCCGATCCCAACTCTCAAGAAAACGGCAGAACCCTTTTGGCAAGCAGATCGTTAAAAGATGATCGATGGAAGAGAAAGAAGATGGACAAACCGAGGGTTTGAGGTTCTGGTTGATTCCGATTTTCTGATCAAGCGACATCGGGGCTTTAGGAGATAGTAGAACAGCCGTGAGCCTCTTCATCGAGACCCCTGCTGCCTCTGCGACTTCTTCATTATCTGGTTGCCTACCATTTTCACTGTAGAACTGCTTTCTAGCTTCCTTCACCCGATACGTTGCCTCCACCATGTGAAACTGCGGGTCGTTCCAAAAGATATTAAGATACGAAAACATGCTGATTCGGTTTGATCTTTGTCTGATTTGGAATGACTTACGGGTAATCTAATCGTCCTGGATTGATCGGAAAGAGACTTTCTAACTGCTTGCTTGATCCACCAATGCGCATAAGTAGAGAATTTGAAACCTTTCGTAGCATCAAACTTCTCGGCTCCCCTCACAAGCCCTCTACATCCTTCTTGGACAAGGTCCTGGAGGTTCATACCAGCTCCTTGATAATTCTTAGCGATCGAAATAACGAGGCGTATGTTGCTCGTAATCATTTTGTCTTTACAAATTGTTCCGTGGTTTATACGCTTCCTTAGGGTTTTCTGATCGACCCCAGCAGCCGAAGCCCACTGTGCAAAAGTTGGCTGACCCCCGCAACGCTCAACAAGCTCTTCTCGAAGTCTTTCCAGCTTCAGAAGGTCCTAAACGAGACAGACAAGATCTTGTGAGCAAGTAGCCTCAAGGAATGAAAATAGAGGAAAATGTCAAGAACAAGTCATGCAATATTTTCAAGAGCCCGAAAAATCCCGCCATAGACGCCACCTTTATCAGTGACAAACCTGTATTCCTTCGGACAACTCTTGTTCTTCTCTTGCAGTGAGAAGCCCGGAACTGTTCGTTGTCCCCCTTAAGTATCGCAAAGGATCAGCATGGTCAACATCCTGTGAAGAAACGCGTTTTCTTCTACCGCCTGCACCATTCTTCACAGACACAACGCTTGACATAGCTTTCTCAAGCCCTCTTGCTCGTCGAGCTTTCCTTTCAATCTGGCGTGTAGACCTCACTGCTACACTTGTGGAGAGTTGCTCATCCAGGAGCTCGAGCTCTTGGCTTGCTGGTCCGGAATCATCGCATGGATCTCCGCCAGAGCCATGAGCGGTACACCGATCGACCACAATTCCAGTCTCGGAAACCACTAGATGCCCCAATATGCCAGAACGTTCCTTTTCCGTAAACTGGTCCCACTTGGAGCGCTTCTCAGCTGTTGATGACACCAGCAACTTTGTATCGCAGCCGTTATAAATGGTCACAGCATCTCTCGCGAATTCCACGGCAGCTCTGGCAAGAGTAATTGCTTCAGCCGCCGCCGCTGCCACTACTACTTCATCGCTGGGGAGAAGCGTTTCAGAGCCTAAAGCTTCTGAACATTTTGCCTGTACATACAAATCAACAATTCTTCTGTTTATCTCTCCAATGAATTGGTAGAAATACGTCATTTTTTAGGATTTTATGAGAAGGTGGTTTCTTTATTTTATAAATTGGGAATTTCGGAGTTTTATAATATTTTACATTCTATTATTATTTAGAAAATATTAAGACAATATTAGGGATATTTGATAATATCTTAAGATTTATTAGATTTCATTTTTATTACCATATAGGGAGCTCTTGTTTCATCAATAAAGATATTCAGAGTTTTAGAGAAAATTTGATTTTCGCACACGAGCGGTATTGGGAGCTGACACCAAGGAAAATTTCGGAAATGTTTCGACAGGGGTTCGGTTCGAAAACAGTACCGGTTCGACTCGTTTCGGAAACATCACTGAGTTTTCCAGTTTGTTTCAGAAACGGTACTAAATTTTCCGATTTGGCACCCGATTTTTTGATTCGTAGACATATACATGTGTGTATATATATGCATACATACATATATATGTGCATATATACGTGTATATATGTGTATATATGTGTATATATTATATAATATATCTATACATATATTAATATTTATACATCTATATATAACAATTTTAGTTAAAAATATGTAACGGTTGAACCATTTAACCCATTTTAAAAGATAAATCAAATGGGTTAACCCATTTGAGTATATAATTGGATTAGATCGACCCATATAATCCGACTCATTTTGACATCTATACGAACAATGCAACCAAGGTATCAGCTATTGAACTATTCTACCGTTAGTCTAGCAAGTTACAACGAGAAATATATCGCCATTGGTCTCTACCTATACTTACTTGGTTTGCCTAGAAACTCATGAAACCAAAATGTGCTTTCACCTATGGGCAGATTAGAGATTTCGAAAACAAATAAAAGGACATCTCTCACCTCAGTTTGGGGAGCAGCGATTCCTGTATAAGTCCATTGATTGCCTGGCATTAGAGAATCTGAGTCGGTGGTGAAAGAGGGTAGTCGCAGCTTCTCCACGTCGAGAACAGAAGTGGCTGACGCCGATGCAGTGGAAACCGCGCAGCGCGATTGGAAAACGACACGACCCTTGTACTGTTTTGCTGCACGAATCCAACAAAAACAAAATTGGCACAACCAATTTATCAGTCAATAAAAGACTGGAAAGACAAAAGAAGCCTTTTGGGATTAGGACGAGAACCTTGACTGTAACAGCGCAAGACATGTCGAGGAAGATCTCTTATAATGAATCAAGTGCAAAGCCTATGTTAGGGGCTATCTCTTATAATGAATGAATACTCACTGCCAAAAAGGATATATTCAAAATACCTAGCAACATTATCTGTTACATACCCAAATTTGGGCAATTCAATAGGTGAAACGGGTACACAAAGCGTCTGTCCCGTCCCGAGTCCGCAACTTAAGTTTAGAGAGGGTTATATATGTTCCAAATCACTGTCCCGAACCCGAGGGGGCTTGGTCCAGACACTCAATTACCCAAAAAACATTATTTGTTTCATCACACACCTCTCTTCACCCATTGCACTAATTTGAACTCAAATCCATAAGAAGAACAATTTCAGAAGCCGAGGAAGATCAAACGAATTTGATCTTCACCGATTGCACTAATTTGATCTCAAGACACACGGAAAATATCAACAAGTTTCTACTAGTATCAAATGAATTTCGGGCATTAAAATCAGTTCAGCCCTAATCCAAGATTCGGGGAAGATCAAATACACCCATTTGGGATCACATTGACTTGAGGCCATTGCGAAGCGAATCATGACAGCAGAAGGCAAAGGCAGAGGCGAAGATATAAAACCACATTCAAACTTCAACGTAACACTGCACATGCGTATATAAAAGATATACAACTAATTACAGAGAGAGAGAGAGAGAGGGAGAGAGAGAGATACAGTGGTAGTGAGAGGTTCTGAACTGAATAGGGAAGGAACCAGGTGGACACTTGAACTTAGGAAGAAGACAGGAAGACATACTCGTACTTAGCTAAATTTGAATTCAACTTCCCACCATTGAAGCGAGAGAGAGAGAGAGAGAGAGAGAGAGAGAGAGAGAGAGAGAGAGAGAGAACTGGTGATGGCGAATGAAGCGGAAAAGGATAAAGGTTTTAGCCTTTGAGGCAGATAGACAAACAAGACATAACAACGTTACAAAACTGCTTCTGGGGTTTCCCTTGAGTTAATTGGGCCGACGGATTATTATTTTTTAAGCCCAAATAAATTGCTAAAACGGTAAAACCCATTAAAATTTTTAAATTTGTAAAATGGTACAAAATATTAAGAAACAAAAGTATGAGAATATGAATGTATATAATTATTATTTGTGTAACTTTTTTCGTTATTCAATTCACAAATATCGTTTTATATTTTTGTAATTACATAAATAGACATTTGTAATTTCATTTTTACACACCAAAAACAACAAAAGAATAACAACAAATAAAAATTCTCTCTTATATCCTTTTTGTATTTTTAGTTTTATTATTTCACAACAAAAATTTAATTTTTAATATGATTTAATGGATTTTATCCTCGTCATCCGGACTTGATATGTTTTAAATGTTGATAACTTAATCTTATGACATTTAGTGTCCGGATTAAAAAATGTACGATACCATTTCTTCGGTTGGGCCCTTATAAAACCATCATAAACCAAAGGGTTATACATTCGGATATCATGTACATATTGACGAAACTCACTTTCTAGGTAGCTCTTGGTAGCCTTTCAAAACAGAATTTCAGTTCGAGGTCCTTGAATTGTTTCTTCCAATTCGCATTCGCAAATACATGTCGTGTGCACATCCTATGCTCAGCCAAAGGTAACTGTCCTTCGATGGCATTCACCAAACCCTGGTCATAGTTACATAGTCATAGTTAGAATCTTATGTATATATAATGTATTTTAAACAAAAATAAGAAGTTCTTGTCGGACAAAATAGTCAAGTTTTCACCATCGTCCAAACATAAATCTAATCTCAATTTCCGAACAAACCAAGTCTAATTGTCGGTGTCTTCGATACGCACAACAGCCCAAACAATTGGATAAATACCGTCATTGGCATCTCTACCTACTGCCGAAAGAAGTTCCCCTTTAAAGTCTCACTTCAAGAAACATCCATCTAACCCGATAACTGGACGACAATGTCTTTTCCATGACTCTCGTAGGACATCGAAGCATACGTAGAATCTGTGAAACACCTGCTGTCCCGGAGCTGGGTTTGTTCCGATTTCAGTACTCGTATTGGGGTTTGAACGCTGCAGCTCTAACTCATAGTCCCACAATTTCCTAAATTGGACTTCTTGACAACTTTCAAGGCCAAACTTCTAGCCTTGAAACACTTGGTAAGAGACTGTCAAATTATGATCCCGTTGTATCTCATCCTGCATCTTTTTCCCCTTAAAACTCGGATCAGCCCTAATCTTCTCAACGTACAATGTTGCTATTTGCCTCATCGTTAGCATATTAGCATACTTCTCCGCAATGTGGTTGTGATCGTCTTTATAGATCTTGATCATCCATTTATTGATTGGGACCTCAACCGAACAATAAATCCTCCATGGACAGCCCACGTTACATCACACTGCGGCCAATTTTGTTCGATCACACCTGGACAACTTCACGTTGAAGTTTTTATTTATCACATAGTCAAACAACGCCTTCTTAAATTCTTCACCCGAATTGAAAGTTTTAGCAAGATACAAGAACTCGCTACTCGGGAATGTTGTCGGAATCTTTGTCTTAGGCTTGTCAAAATTATCCCATTCTTCATCAGTTCCTTCAGGTGTGAGGGGGATATGATCATCACTATCTAAATAATCCTCACTCGAATTCACCTCTTCATCTTCAACAACATCAGCTTCATCAACAACAGGAACTTGAACAAAATCATCATCACTACTTTCATATTCCCTAAATTCATCCATATAATCAAAAGACTCATCGTCAAACCCAACTGTATCATCGCAACATACATAATCATTATCCGCAGCGCTGTCACAATCAACCAAATTCTCTTCAACTAACCTGAATTCACCTCTTCATCTTCAACAACATCAGCTTCATCAACAACAGGAACTTGAACAAAATCATCATCACTACTTTCATATTCCCTAAATTCATCCATATAATCAAAAGACTCATCGTCAAACCCAACTGTATCATCGCAACATACATAATCATTATCCGCAGCGCTGTCACAATCAACCAAATTCTCTTCAACTAACCTATCTACCATTCGCTTGACTGGAGTGGGCTGAGATATATGGTGGTCTATGTGTACATCTAATTCCCCACATAAGGTTGCCATTTCAAACATTAACTTCATTTCATTATCCCCACATCCTTGCACCACATGTCTCTTCTCATCCAAACTCTCATATGGTAATTTAAACCACACGTCTTTGACTGCACCACTTATGTTATGAGATTTAACAAAATCTTCCACAAAACTCCAAGACATAATATCCATATCAACCATAACACCTTCCTCCACAATTCCATTAATGTAATAGTTTTTTCCGTCTATTTCTTCCATACTTCCAGCCATATGAAAGTTGAGTTTACAGCAACTACAAAATGGACGCATTCTATTACTATCTATTCATAAAATATACCACTTTCCAATCAATAACAAAACTAGAAACTTACCTCATTTTCGAAGAAATCGAGTTGTAAACCGAGGGTCTGTTGTATCACCAAGATCCACAACCACAGAGATCTATAAACCATGAACACACATTCAGACATTTCTGAAATTCCACAATTGTCTACAATCGAGTTCCTCTCAATTTATGACACATTACATGTTTCTATCTTCTCTAAGCTCAAACCGGCATCAAACAACATCATCAACCTATAATATCACATAACCCAATTAAACTATCACCTAAATACACACAACCAGAGGATTAAGACTTAAAAACACAAGGGAGAAAGTCGTCGAACATTACTGTCACGTCGGAGAAGGAGGTGTTCACGTCCGAGGAGGGTGTCGCCGGAATCGAGGCTGCGTGTCGCCGGAGTAGCGACTGAGTCTCGCCGGAATCGAGGATGGAGTCGATGGGCTGGAGAGAGATGACGGATTACAGTGGGTGCTGTGGTCTGGAGTGGATATGAGAGTCGACAGTAAGGCCGGGAGAGGATCTCGCCGGAGAGGAGGCTCGCGGCGGAGAGGACTGTCCGGCCGGAAGGGGGTCTCGCCGGAGAAATCAGAGGATGTTGACTTTTGGGGATTTAGAAATCAGAGGAAAGGGTGAATGTCGTGATTTGGAGATAGGTGGTCGATTTTGAGGAATTAGGTTACATATTTGGGTATTTTTATTTTTATTTTTTTCGGTTTAATGTGGAAACCGACTCGGTTTAATTGGTGATTTTCGGTTTTTCGATTTCACACGTGGCATATACATGTGGACAATTTTTCTGACGTATCGTGCCACATCACCTACGGTTTTAACGGAATTGTGTTCTGTTTCACGCCGTAACCCATTGTGTATGAGATTGAAATCAATTTTCATAGTTCGTGGGGGAATCTGGGAAGATTTGAATTTCGGTATAAGTTTTTGGAAAATTGAAAATTTGTGTAGGAAATTGGAACAAGTAAAATTGGTGGGGGAATATGGGATTATCCCTTATAATATGTGAAAAGTTGCTACAAAATCAAAATGATAATATCATTTTTTGGACTCAAGTCAGAAATTAGTAAAAATATATGAATTTATTATCTTTGAGTTTATATATACAAACATTATTACGAACTTTAAATTTTAAAGTATCTATACATTCACCTAAAAATTTAAAACATGATAGGAAGAATGATTTAGATAGAGAATAAGTTGTCGAAAAAATGTTGCTATTTTAGATGATTTTAAATTTCCCGAATAGAACTAGAACTTCAAAATTACCATCATTTTAAAAAACTATCTTATGATAATTTTGCCTCAAATGGAACAATCTTTTTGACCAATCTTTTACAGTTTAGTGCGTTGACTCAGAGACGAACGAAGATTAATCTGAATGTATAAAGGTTAAAGATGTCGATTCATAGTTAAACTTTATTCAAGTTATGTCACGGTATATATAAAAAAACTATTTACATATTTATGCGATCTATAATTACCAACTTACAAAAATTTCTCTACTAAAATTTAAAAAAGCAACTTGATCACCCTAATCCCTAACAAAAAGAACTTGTTATTACAGTCGATTTGTACTTTTCTAGAGTCGTTGAGTTTAGGTTACTACTTGTATAGGATTTATTCATCTAGATAAACACAATCAATTATTATGAATTTTCTACGAATTTTTAATTAAATATAAAGTAAAAAATGAAAACAAATTGTTTAGAAAAATAATATGTTTTTGATAAAATTGAAACATATATAATTGGATGAAATTTTAAAATTTAATATAAAATTGAATAAAAATAATTTTTTTATATGATTAAAAAATAAATCCGAAATAATTGAATTCTATGTCAACGTATAAATCAAATCTAAAATATTGATAGATATAAATCAAATCTAAAATTCTTTCTAAAATATTATGTCATGATATTTTTGGTAATTGAAGTGGGATCCAATAAATTCATAATTAAAAATAAATTCATAAAAACAACTAAGTAAATAAATAATACGACAAAATGGTCAAAATAAATTATTTAAAAGAAGGCCAAAATAATAAAATAAAATAAGCAATCAGTCAAAAAGACAAAAGACTCGCTACACCAATCCTGTCCTGTGCGTTCCAGAGGTATTTGAACGTTCCTTTATATTTGAATTCCAATCCCTTTAGCTACGATTTCAACTCATTTTTCAAATCTCCTCCCCCGCCCTCTCTCTCTCCGCAAAACCCTAGAATTCGTGTTATTCAATCAGATTGCCGATGACGATGGTTCCGTCCATCGGTCGGCAAATCTCGAATTCACCGGCCGACGGCATATCTAACCTCCGGTTCTCAAATCACAGCGATCACCTTCTCGTTTCTTCATGGGACAAGGTCTGAAAACTCTCTCTCTCTCATATATATATATATATATATGCTTTGCTTTCGGTTGAGTTCACTATGTTTGGACATGTCTGATCCGATGATGTTTTGTGTATGAATATTAGAATGTGAGATTGTACGACGCGAGCGCTGATTCGTTCAGAGGGGAGTTCATGCACGGCGGTCCTGTACTCGATTGCTGCTTCCATGACGATTCCTCTGGGTTCAGTGCTTGTGCCGACAACAAAGTCAGACGGTCTGTCCTTTTTTTTCTCCCACTTTTTTTTTCCTTTGATTTGAGGTGTTTTAGTGAAAATTATGTGTGTTCTTTTTCACCTTATTGAAAAATAGCTGTGCATTAAGAGAAACTAAGGTTACTTTGTAGTGCTGGTGGCGATGAAGGATACTATAGTATTGAATTCTAGAGAGAATTCAGAAATGGAAAAGAGATTTGAGAATAATTTCTGTATTGATTAATATGAAATGATCCATACAAAATGTATTTATACTAATCCTAACAACATACTCTAATACGCCCCCACAAGATGAAAGTGATTAACTTTCATCTTGGACAAATACAAAACGAAAACGAAACATTACAACCATGAATACCACAATCAAACCGAAAACTATATCAATGACAAATCGATCCTCGAACAAAGTCTCCACGACATGAAACGAAGTCTGCATGACTCGTATAGAGCCTCCACGGCACGAAACAAAACCTCTACGGCTCGAAGAAAACCTCGACGACATGAATTGAACCTCCACGGTTCGAAAAACGCCTCAACGGCATAAAATGAGCACCACGGCTCGAAAAAACACCTCCACGGCATGAGATGAGCCTACACGGCTCGACGAACGCCTTCACGGCATGAAATGAGTCTCCACGACTCGAGACAAAAACACGACCATCAAAGTCGAAAAACAAATGACGCAGCAAACCGAATCAGAAACCAAATCATATCTGATCAGTAAAACACCGGACAAAACCGGAGAACATGTCAGATGAAACAACCACAAAGAAAACCAAATCACACCAATCCAGTGGAGAAATCAAATGGTTGCAACAAGGCTGAAACCAGAAACAGTGTAACAAGACGAAGCTGGAGAAATTAAAGCATATCTGGAGACTATAATCTTCAATGAGATTAAGTCAACTAGCAGCGATCGGAAGTGTCACATGGTGCATGACACAAAGAATAGAACCATATCCATGGCTGATCGGAGATCAAGAGTTAGCTGAACCAATCCAAAGTGACGGATGAAGACGAGACAATTACGACACCGTAAGATCTAGCGAAAACGGCTGAGCATGCGAGAGATTCACAAACTGAATCACTGTCCAAAACGACGAAGTGTGAAAGTCAATCGAGAAGATCCAATGACCTCGCAGAGAGAGAAAGCAACCAAATCTGAGAAGACATCAGCAAAAGAGACGAAATCTGAGACGATCTTGCCGAATTCAGTGATGGAACTCAGAGAAACATGGAAGAATGTTCAGATGGTACAGTTCTGCGAATCAGAGATAACAATCAGCTAACCACCAACTCGAACAGACAGATTTGAGAAGACCGATACAATTTGCTTCGACGACAGAGGAGATGATTGCGGAGACTGCCAGCAAGTGTAGATCTCAGAAATCTCCAGTAGATTTGGACAGCAACATCATTTCGAACAACTCGGAGAACGACGAAGAACACGAACGGCGAATCATCAATCTGAAAACTCGAACAGATAGGATCCAGAAGCTGGTGACACTTACGGAGAAGAAATCGGAGGTCGAACAGAAAACGATTGAGTAGACTTGGCTTCGATGACAGAGAAACCTAGTGGATCGGAGGATTTGCCGGCGAATTTCGCCGAAGGTAAATCAATCGTGCAGGAAACAAAAAATTTGCAATGGAAGAAGATGATGTTGAACTTGAATAAGAGAGAATCAAATTTGGTGAAATACAAAACAAATCTGGTGAAATTTTGGAAGAATTGAATCAAAGATGAGAAATGAAAAGAGGAACAAATGAAATCTCCACAGAAAATATTTTCTCTCTGATACCATGTTGAATTCTAGAGAGAATTCAGAAATGGAAAAGAGATTTGAGAATAATTTCTGTATTGATTAATATGAAATGATCCATACAAAATGTATTTATACTAATCCTAACAACATACTCTAATATATAGTTAACACGTCTCTGTATGTCCAACTAGCTGCTTGCTTGGATATTGAGGAAATCTGAGTTTCTACTTAATTTTATGTGTGTACATGATCTTTAAGCATAGGGTCCCTCTGTGTTTGTAAAATATTTGTAAGCCAGAGGTTATTGTAAAATATGTATGCATGATTTGTGAGGATAAGGTATAGCTACAAAATATTTCCCTCGGAAACTCGTTATTGGTAGGAGAGGATGTCTGGTTTCAAGGAGTTTTGCAGAGGTTATTGTAGGATAATCATCTATGGTTTCTATTTCAGGCTTGTTTTCAATGTTGGGAAAGAAGATATTCTGGGAAAGCATGATGCACCAGTGCGTTGCGTTGAGTATTCTTATGCTGCAGGTTGGTTGAATCTCAGTGGTGCTTGTGGTGTTTAGTCGAATAACTTCCTTATTACCATGGTCTAATCTGGTCTTTTTGACATCTAGTTCTAGAAAAATTTCTAGTTGATTGTAAGAGATAAAATAGTAAGTTATACATGATTCTCGAATTGGCTTATTCAAAATCCATTTGCTAAAGCAGCATATTTTTGTGTTTTTGAATTTCTACGGGATCCTTAATTTCAATGATGACACATCTTGTTTCCACAGGACAAGTGATCACAGGAAGTTGGGATAAAACCCTCAAATGTTGGGATCCAAGAGGTGCCAGTGGGCCAGAACACACATTAGTTGGAACATATCAGCAAACGGAGCGTGTTTATTCTCTATCTCTTGTTGGAAATCGATTAGTTGTGGCAACAGCAGGAAGGCATGTAAACATCTATGATCTTAGGAATATGTCTCAACCTGAGCAAAGAAGGGAGTCTTCACTGAAATATCAGACCAGATGTGTACGCTGTTATCCCAATGGAACAGGTAGAATACCTTGCTTCCTATGAATATGAGATGACTGATATTCCTTTTTGTGTTCATTGGAATAGCCAGAGCTGCTCAATGAGCTCCCAGTAAGTACTCCTTAGGCTTATTCCTTGATACTTTTCTACCGTAACAATGCTTCTCAGGATATGCACTTAGCTCTGTTGAAGGAAGGGTAGCAATGGAGTTCTTTGATCTATCCGAGGCCACTCAAGCTAAAAAGTATTTGCCTGATGATTTTCTTGTGCTTTACATGTCTTTTGGGGAACTTCTTTTCCATAGCCTTTTTCTGTTTCATCTTTAATTAACTTTTTCATGTTCATAAGATGCAGTTTCTCGGACCCTTCCCCGGATCCCGCTGAGCGGGGATGCTTTGTGCACCGGGCTACCTTTATCAGATGCAGTTTCCTTTGTCATCTTTGTTATTTGCTTATCTATATATTGTCTTATGTGCCTTCAGATACGCTTTCAAATGTCACCGGAAATCAGAGGCTGGAAGGGACATTGTCTACCCTGTAAACGCCATCGCGTTCCATCCAATGTGAGTGTTTATCTGAGAAGAAAGAGATTTATGTCCTTATAGAATGTGACATTTGAAACTTCTATTCCGTGGAGAACAAATGAACTTCAAAGAAAACACATTAATTCCCTAGGATGCCATTTCTCTCACCCCCCAAAAAAACCTGTGAATATATGTTCTCGGATCTGTTCCTATAACCATCCAATTGGAATGCTGGAGTTGTTATTTGGTTTCCTTGAGATACTAATGTTATAAAAATAAAATTCAATCAATATGTTTTGATGCCAATGCTATAATTTCTGATAACCCGAGATATTGAATTGTAGTTATGGTACTTTTGCGACTGGAGGTTGTGATGGGTTTGTCAACATTTGGGATGGGAACAACAAGAAGAGGCTGTATCAGGTTAGGTGGTTCTTTATTTAAGTTTCTTTGGCTAATTGCGACCGCGATATTCATTTGCTCGTCTCTTCTTCTTTTTCTTCCAGTACTCAAAATACCGTTCGAGTGTAGCAGCCCTCTCATTTAGCCGAGATGGCCGGTTACTGGCTGTTGCTTCAAGCTACACTTTTGAAGAGGGAGAGAAACAGTACGTAAACATACACATCTTCTACTTTCCGATTCTACGAACAAACTCTGCATTTAAATGCACACATATAACAAACATATAAAAGACAACGTTGAGTTTGGGAGAATTGAAATGGACTGGAAGAAATTTCCAGTGTGTTGTATTATTGATTCATAAGAACAACGATTTATATTCTATCGCAAACTAAACCGAGCTAAACCTGATTTATATGCTAATACAATGATACCTCGAATTCGATCCTGCATTTACTCTCGCAACAATATCTTATTTTTTTTAAAATCATGAACTAAGAGGTTATATTTCTTTCTTACAGGCATGAACCAGATGCCATATACGTACGGAGTGTGAATGAGATCGAAGTGAAACCGAAACCCAAAGCATACCCGAAACCCCCGGCATAGACAAAATCCCATCTTCAGTTTGTTCGGTTCTCTGCCTAGCAGGTAATGGTAATAGCTTTATTACAACGTCAAGATTTGATGATCTGCTTTGTGAATTCGGAGGATCATTTAGTAGCAAGTGTGTGGTTTATCTAATGTGTGCAATGTCCAAATACTAGTGCTGCACAAAAATATCCGTTTTTTTAGGATATCCGATTCTGGGTATTTGCGTCACGGCCGAAGAGATGGAATGTGATCATCAATCAGATGGGTTATCTAATCGTGACTAGAATTTAGGTTGACGTGGATTTTGGAAGAGCAATTGAATATAATATACATACTATGTATATATACCTATGTATGTGTATATATACACGTATAAAATGGGATAAAACCTATAAATTTTTTTTATGAAATTGTAACAAAATTAATTTTAAAATAATAAATTTATAAAATATATCGTTATAATTTTTAAGTTATAAAATGTGTTATTATAATGATATATTTTGCAAGTTTTTAGAGAAAAATTTATCAAATGAAAAGTTTAAGAATTAGTTTTATATCATTTTGCAAATTTAAAATTTTTTTTATGGGTTTTGTTTCCCGTCGGAAAGTTAAACGCTAGAAATTTGATTGAAATTTGACAATATTTCGATAGTTTATTTTAAATTTGACACCCTTTAAACACTCTTAACATTTTATATATTTATTCACGCTTAAAATTAGTATTTTATCATTTTGACAAAATTGGTTATAAAAAAGTGAGATTTCACCTTTCACCATGACGGTTACTTTTGATTTGTTCTGAAATGTTTTTTCATAATACAACTGAAATTTATTGTCAGTTTATTTTTCAAAACAATATAAAGATCAGGTACAAACCGAATAAAAGCCCTAACGTAAGCATGAGATTGGTTTCCTACCTAATTATAACCCTTATCACAACAATTCAGCCATAAAATGAAATATCAAAACTAACAACAGCATCATCTTCTTGATCCCAAATAAATTTATTTGAGATCGACCGCAAAAAATAAAACATAAGCAGATACAAGAACTCCATTGTATTTGGTTGAAAACAATCTAAAAATCGAACATCCATTCCTGCAATTCTCACTGAAAGTTTACAAACCTAAGGAGACTAAAGAGGAAAAAAAAAATAAAATGGAGGGGAAATTAGCTGACAAAAAAAAGGATGATGCGATTGAAAAAAAAAACTAATGAAGGCAGATTCTAAAACTTTACTCTCATTTCATTACCTCACGTTGGCTACGATTGTCTTCTGTATCTACTACAATTGTACGCGTCATGCTCACTAGCTAGTTCCTTGGCTTTACCATCCATCAATGCCTTCTCATGTCGACCTCATGCCCGGATCATCTGTAAAAACAACCCGCATTTGTTTTACACATACGATGAAAGAACGAAAAGTACCCGTTTAAATAATTACGGTCTAAGTGAACGATTCCTCGAAAGATACTCCGTTTGGTATGTTTTGAGCATTCAAGTGCTGCTGCATCCGCTGTTTTTAACTCGCGGGTTGTTTGGAAACCCAAGAAGCTCGGAGCTCCGAGACACACACACACATTCAGATGACCAAGAATGTTACTTACCACTTTGGAGGTGTTTCTTCCTTTCAATGTCTTAAAAGCCTCTTCAACGAAAGCTTGAGCTGCCTCGGCATCAGCTTCTGCTGCATCAGCTTCCATAGCTGCTTCCTCAGCCTCTGCAATGTGAGTCTCCACGACTCGAGACAAAAACACGACCATCAAAGTCGAAAAACAAATGACGCAGCAAACCGAATCAGAAACCAAATCATATCTGATGCCCGTTCGGCTACTGCTGTGGCCTCCTGAACGTCCATGCTTTTCATTCTGGCCAACTCTAAATCAATCTGAGATCTCGTCAGAATATTCACTTCATCCCGGTCTGTCCTAGGAGAAGTCACAGACGAAATCCTTTTCCTTCCTGTAAAAGTCTTTAAGTTCCGTCTCCTATCGTGAGACAGTGTGGTAAGCGGAATTCTATACTTGCGTTTAACCTGTGCAAAAGAATATCCGATCAATGGTACTATGATTGGGAACCCGATGTATCTTAAGTGTTATAAATATGAAGAAAGAATGATTAAATGTTATAAAAATAGTACACTCGTGGACAGATACTATAATGCTATACTCCCAAACACAATGCCTGCTGCCAGAAAGGTTTAATAAAACATACTGGATTACCTTCGTAAGTTTACCGCAAGTTGTCAAGTATTTCAGCTTGGAAGACAACAATCTTTTGAAGTCCGGAGGAGCATGATATTGTTCCTAGATGAGTTAACAACACGAATATGGGAACCATTAATCTACTCAATTAGCCATTCAACAAGGAAATCATACAAAGAATCAAGTGAAAATATGAAAAACAAAAGCCATGATAGAAACCCCAGCCTGTTAGTGAAACTCACAGAAACCTACCTTGCACAGTAATAGCATACAAAGTATAATCATCAAATTTTAACTTCATGCTCGAACTATTTCAAGCAGGAAGTCTGAAATAATTTTCTTCATGAATCATGCTTAATATGGTTCAAAACTTATTTCCTTGGAAAATCTTGGGAATACAAATACAACAACAACAACAACAATATTTGGGATCGGCCACATAAATTCTTCTTTTCCACTCATTTCAGTTTTGCGTCATCTCCTCCGAAATTTGCAACATATCCAAATCATTTCTAATGACTCGTTCCCAAGTAAGTCTAGGCCTACCATTTCCTCGTTTCTTCACTTCCATCCTTATACTCTCTAATTTTCTAACCGGAACGTCAAATGGTCTACGTTTTACGTGTCCAAATCACCTTAAGCGCACCTCACGTAATTTCTCTTCTATGGTTACGACTCCTTATTTCTCTCTAATAATCTCATTCTGAATTCTGTCCATCCATGTATATCCACACTTCCATCGCAACATCCTCATCTCAACCACACACATCTTGGACACATGTTGTCCTTTTACCGTCCAATATTCACTACCATACATCAATATGGGTCTTATGGTTGTACGGTAGAATTTTCCTTTCAACCGTATGGGAACTTTGCGATCGTAAAGGACCCCCGTGGCTTGTCTCCATTTCATCCATCCCGCGTTTATCCTATGACTAACATCTTCGTCGCAACCTCCATTCTTCTGAAGGATTGAACCAAGATATTTAAAATGCGGGTTTTAAGGTACTAATCCTCCTTACAAGTTAATTCCTACATCACTAGCACACGTCCCACTAAAATCGCAATGCATATACTCGGTCTTCGTTCTACTAAGCCTAAAACCCTTAGCCTCTAATGTACTCCTCCATAACTCTAATTGTCCATTTACTCCTTGTCTGGACTCATCTATTAACACGATATTGTCTGCAAACATCATACACTACTGTACTTCTTTCGGTATATCCCTAGTCAATTCGTCCATGACTAACGCGAAGAGGTATGGACTTAAAGCGGACTCTTGGTGCAACCCTATCGAGATGGGAAAATCTCGAGTGTCATCCCCTACTGTTCGGACACTAGTGGTCGCACCTTCATACATGTCCTTCAGTATTTGTATGTATCTCACTAATACTCCTTTACACTCTAACGCTCACCATAAAACCTCTCTTGGTACTCGATCATAAGCTTTTTTGAGATTGATAAATACCATATGCAAATCTTTTTTCATATCTCGAAACTTCTCCATCAAGTTGCGAATGAGAAAGATTGCTTCCATGGTAGACCTTCCAGGCAGAAGATGCATCAGAATATTCATCTCGTTTTCAAATACTAATTCATCCTTTCTTCATATTGTAAGAATGCATTCAGTAAGGCAACAAAATGATACCTTTGGCTCTCGTTGCAATAAGAGCAATTCATAAAGTTCTACTTAACATAACCAACACATCAAACAGCAACAGGAGCTAGTGGAAGATGATTATTGAAGCAAGTTTAAACAATTACATAGTGTCAATAGAAAGGAAAAACAACTCAAAATTAACCGGATACCTCAATGTATGCATGAATTGTTGTCTTATTAGAACCACCGGGCTCTTTTAGTGTAGTTATTGCTTCCATTATAAGGTTGTCCAGCCTGCAAAATAAATAAAAGTCTCAACTCAAAATGCATAAAATCATGAAACGAAAGATATAACAGCCAGGTAGTTGGGCTTTGTACATCTACAGCTTCGTCAACCTTTCCAACCAATCAAAGTCAACATGCTAGAGCAAACAGCTTGCATACCAGAGCAACTAAGATGTAGAGAATATCACGGAAATTCGGCCTAGAAGAAGATGAGAAAGCAAAGTGGCAACCTCATGAAACATGTAATTAGAAAACGGAATAAAAAGTGAGGATAAAGATTAAAAAAACTACTGACATTTTATCAGGCCCAAGACATCATGTGTAGAAATCCATGAAATAAAAGAAAGTAATCAAACCTCAAACCAATATTCCACGTGTGTACTTCGAAATTTATCCATATACATGATACAAGCTTCAAAAATGGCAAAAGATATAAAAACATGGCCTGACAAGTTTAAATAGATGGGTCCTGCAGTTTAAACATCAAATATTTTCATTTTATAAATCCATCATCTTATTCATTGTTTTATTCCCAAAAATTACATGGAAATAAAATATATTACTAACCTTACATTTGGTCTCCTTGGAGCAGCAGCTATTTGCAGTGCAGAACCAATAGAGAAAATAGGCTTAGGATCCGCTATTTCTTCATCGCTTTGCATGGTAGTGGTGATACTAAGGGGGTTTTCTTCATGTTTGGGAAGAGACACTATTCTTTTAACAGCTAACCTAGACTTTTCACGCGATCCCCATCCATTTGCCATGACACTCATATTTCTCCATTTATCCTAACCAATCACAAACCAAAGCAAATCAAAATCAAAAGCCAAAGACAGTAAGAGATTATACTTCAAAGTCAATAAACCAAAATCATTCAAGACAAGTTTCCGATTTGAAGCCATACGATGCACTAATCCATCAAAAAGCTAACATAAGTCATAATAGGGAATGATTGACCTTGAGATCAACATTGGATCGCAGGTATAAGACGCCACTAAATTCAGGGTCTTTGAGTATCGTGCGCCATTTACCAGCACCGTGCTTTATAACACCAGCTTTTAAGGCTGCTTCTTCTTCTGATGTCCATTTCTGCTTAGGAGCACCCATTAGGACTTGCAGGTGCAATGCTGCTCCACAGCGCGAATACAAATATTTACCACAGAGCACAGATCAAATGGTAAAACACAAAAAATGAAAAATACATAGCTGCAAAATATTTTAGCACTAGGCAATCTCGGAGGGCTTCATTTTATTCATTGTTCCCAATTTCATCAAAATGTAACATATACCCTGAATTCATTCTTCCATGGCAATCCTCAATCCCGTTGTTGATTATAATATTATGCTTTCTCTTTGATTTGAACCCTACCAGGTTTATCTCACAGTGAACACTTCAAATTACCAAATATAACCTATTCGGACGTGCAAACAAACCATTCCAACAGAGAACTCCATCCTTAACCCTATTCAACGTTCTATGAAACCCCAAATATGCAGATATCAAACCACACCGGTAGCAAGCATTCAGCTACACCCACGCTATAGCTAAAAAGTTTCATCAAACTCAGATCTCGAACTCATAAGAACTCTGCAAGCGATCATTTGTCGAAGGAGAATTAAACAAATTTAACCATAAATTCCAGTTTTCGTTCGCGTTTCGGATAAACAGATTAGATTTCAAAAATCCTGGAGTTCCTCCCCGCACGAAAACCTAATCCCTTGCAGCGAATATGAAAGTAATCAACGAGAAATAGAGGAATTCACCAGGAATTTCAATTCGGGCAGAGAAAAGTCGATCGTAGTGGTAACTACGCGAAGAAAATGTCCTCTTTAGTTTTTTTTTTTTGGTTTGATTCGGTTCCAGTCTCTTCCCCAAAAATTTAGGGTTACTAGCGAACAAAGAAACAGAAGGGGAAAAAAATCACTTCACAACACATCTGAAGATGTGTAGTAGCATGATTAATTATTTAATAAGTCCAAATAAGTGATACCGGAATTGCCCACTATCCTAATTTTTCTCTTCTCGTCTACTTTGGTTTCTCCCAAAATCCAGTTCGGTTTCGATTTGAGAATCATTCGGTTCAATTATTTCGTTTTTAAAAAAATAAATACCAATCGATTATTATATTATATTCATTTCGATAGTTCGATCTTGAATTTAATTTAAATAAATTTAGATTTTTTTGAAAAAAAAATTAGTTTTTCAGATTTTTTAAAAATTCGATTCAATTGCAAAAAATTAATTTTTAAAAATAATATCATTCGAAAATTTTGATATTACACCCTTATTTTCTTTCATCACATCATTGTGATATTTTTACAGAAAAAGATACATGATCGAAGAAAAAAATCCGATTAAAAACCAAAATTTATTGTGAAACCTAGATAAAAATTTAAAAATAGATAAATTTTTTTATAAAACTCTATATTTATTGTGCGGATTGATCTATATCTTTAATGTAAATATTGTTGTGTATTTTTTATTTGTTGTTATACGAAATGGGAGAATGTAATAGATTAAACGGAAACTTGTTTGAAATGAGAGTATTATAGAGAAAATGGGGGAGATGCGAGGAACTGGAATAGAGTCTCTCTCCTTTCGTCGCGACCCAAATCCTAAAAATTCTTCCTGCCGGCGGTATCCTCGGCCATGTCAAATCAAGCTCCGATATCCCCTCTACCACCTCCCTCTCTCACCTCCCCAAATCACTCCCCCATTTTACATCTCCCTCTCCCTCCTCCATCCTTGGTCATTCCTCAATCTTCACCTTCTATATCTCCTTCTGGTGTTTCTCGGTCACATCCTCTTGCTGTATAAAATAATCATTCTCTCTCTCTTTCTGTCGTTGAGGCCTCCTCAATACCGTGATAGAGGATATTATTGATAGAGGATATTATGGGATTATAGCACATATTATGTAATTATGATTATATTACCTTGTTTGTATAACAACTTTGTTGTATATAAGGTGAACGAATGATAATGAAAGGCATGAGAGATTTCATAAGATTACATGGTATCAGAGCCATCACAACTATTTTCTCTCAAACCCTAAAATCGTCGTCACCTCACCTTCGTTCTCTCTTCTTCAATCTCTGTTCTCTTCCCCTCTCTGATGCGAACATGACATTGCTTGAAGAAGAAGAAACGAAGAAATCTCAAAGCTTCCTTATTTGGATTCAACTCAAGATCACGAAGGATTTAAATCTGATTTCAATTAGATTTAATTTAGATATAATCAAATTTAGATATGATCTGATTTGATTTTATTTAGATATGATCTGATTTGATTTTATTTAGATATGATCTGATTTGATTTTATTTAGATATGATCCGATTTGATTTAGATTTGATCTTTTTACCTTATCTTGTTGACATTTGTAATCCTATATAAGGAGATCTTTGTAGACTTGTTTAAGCAGACTTTGGAAATGAAATAAAAAAAAATTGAGTTTCTTTAGAATTCGGTATGTCCGATTCTTTATCTTCTCGGTGTGTCCGAGTCCCAGTCTTCCTAAGTTGTGCGTGTGTCGCGTTCTTATGAGGATCTATTGTGACGATATCAGGAGGACTCTCCATCCCCTCTTGTGGTGTCACCGATCCACCCATCCTTTTCACCCGTAAGCTGAGTTCGAGCGCCTTTAAGGCCGCTGATTGGCTTCGGATCAACCTTCCATCCCGAGTGTATCAACCTTTGGAACGAAGCGTGCATCACTCTCTGTTCTCTTCTTTTGATTCACCATGGCTGCCGAGACAAATCAATCCGAAAAACCTTCCGGCGTGAGCAATATTAAGTCTCATATCCCGATCACCCTAAATATGGAAGAATACAATTACGATATATGGCGCGAAGTCTTTGAAACACACTGTCTTAGTTTCAGAGTGATGGACCACCTTGACGACACAACAACACCGACCGACGAGGCTGATACATATCGGACACGAGTCGATGGGCTCGTGAAGTTGTGGATCTATGGCACAATATCTCAGTCGTTATTTATTACAGTGCTCAAGAAGAAAAGTACGACCCACAATCCATGGACCAGACTCGAGAGCCAGTTTCGGGACAACAAGGAGGCACAATCTATGGACCAAACTCTCGGATCTGTTGTCCAATATTGATGCGGAAGTCTCTGACCGCACACTTGTCATGCACATGCTCAATGGCCTTAATGAAAAGTTTGACAATATTGTCAACGTCATTAAGCACAAGACGCCTTTCCCTTCATTTGAAGATGCACGTTCCATGTTGACCTTAGAGGAACGACGACTTGCAAAGACCACTCGGCATCAACCCACTCATACGAACCACTCTTCGGCACCAAATGTTCTTTACACCAAGACTGCAACAACACCTCACTCTCCTACACCTCCTCATGCATAGGCTAACTCATCACGCTCTCATCACCACCGTGATGGACGACCATCCGGACGTCATGGACGTTATTCTCGCAGTCGTCGGTTCTACAATAACAACCAACATAACAGTCGCGAAACACACCACAGTGGCCCCCTTTCTGGCCGCATCCATGGTCCTATCCGGTTTATACTTCTGGCATTCTCGGTGCCGCCCCACAATAGCAGAGTCCGGTCTGACCCTCGACATCTCAGTGGCAGGAACATTCCTCATCAACCAGACCAATTGAGCCCACGACAGCCTTGGCTCAAGCATTTAATACCATGACTCTCCAAAACCCGGCGGACAATGACTGGTACATGGACTCCGGTATGACACCCGTATCCCGATTCCCGTCACAGGATATGCCACATGGACTAAAAGCAATAAAATATTACAAAACTACAATACGGGAATTTTTAAAACCGTTTTAATATTAAACATGCAGCGGAATTAAACAGCAGTCAAGTCTTAAAACACACATGTCCGAATTAAAAAGGTACAATCGTACACCATAGAAATCGTATCCCATAGTTCAAATCATACCATAAGGGAAACCCCGTACACGATGTTGTCTCTTCGAAGTCTTCGTCACCTCAACCATGCTACTCGTGCTCCTCGTGATCTGAAAAAGGTGAAACCACGAGGGCTAAGCACAACTGCTTAGTGAATGCCCCGGGTCGGATCCGATAAACTCGTTCCCAGCGAGAACGGTATTAAAACGATAAAACACAAAATATATTATTCAACGTTAAACATATATTCATATTATATTAGAACATCATCATATCAATTCCCGTATGGCTTCACACCATCGGGCTAGCCGTAAACCCTGGTCACTTCTCATGACCAGGAGCGCCTCTCACCCCGTCACATCTCATGACGTTGGCCGTCGCATCTCACGACAATCAAGTACGTATGGCTTCGCACCATAGAGTTAGCCATAAACCCTAGTCACATCGCATGACTAGGAGCGCCTCTCAAACCCGTCACATCTCATGACATTGGCAGTTGCTTCGTGCAACAATCAAGTCCTGTATGGCTTTCCACCATAGGGTTAGCCGTAAACCCTAGTCACATCGCATGACTAGGAGCACCTCTCACGCCCATCATATCTCATGACGTTGGCCTCGCATCTCACGACAAAATGTGCTTCACGCGCACGTCACTTCTCGTGACGACCGATGTCACTTCTCGTGACCCTTCGGAGAATAAACCCAATCATCATACAACGATTCACTCGGTGTAGGTCGCACATCTCACCATGCATTTAAATTCTTGATTTGTTCCGATTCTTCCCTTTTACGTTTTGTCGTGTTCCAGCTCATTTTTCACATAGTTTTGTCGATCTCAAGGTTTATATTTCATCTCAAGGCCTTTTTGGCTCAATTTCATCACTTTTTAGTCTGGACTGGTCGGTCCAGAGCCTGGAGACAGATCGCGATTTCGCGATTTCGTCCCAGATTCCGATCCGACTTCGTTGGCTCATAACTTGCTCATTTCTTGTTCAAATTGAGTGCCGTTTGTTTCTAAATGCTCATTGAAATGTCCTCTTTTGATTCTAACCATCAATTTATTCAATTGTTGCATCCATTTTCTGGGTAAAGACTTGAAAGTGTCGGACTCAGAACATGTTCGTTTTCTTTTCTGAAAATTACAGTTTTTCTTCAATTTTCAAACTTCTATATCTTTCTCGTTTCTTCACCAAATCGTGTTCCGTTTGTTTCTATGTGTTCATTGCAACTTCCACTTTCTAATCATGCCCAGGTTTCATCGAAATAACACCATAACAACGATGAAAATGAGCTCACACAGAGGCAACTCGAGTCACTCACCTCAAACCAGAACTATTTCTGGTTTTGGCCGGATTTGATGGGGTTTTCCGGCGAGGCTAGCTGCGGTGGTCCCCTCAGACGTTCTAGGGCTGCCTCTTGTCACTTCCCCAAGCTCCTTTCCTCCTCTCTCCTTCTCTTTCTCTTTTCTTCTCTCTCTTTTCCTTCCTTTTCTTCTTCTTCCTCTGGTTTTTCTTCTGCAATTTTTCTTCAGCAATAATGGTGATAGGCAGACTTTGGGGCAGATTTTTAGAGGCAATAAGGCTCTGGGGTCGAGTAGGGTTGTTTAGGGAGCATTGGTGCTCAATTATGGGTGGTTAGGTCGGGTTTTCGCCGTCTGTAGGACCCTAAATCCACTTCCATCGCGCAGCTAAGGTCGCAAGCTCGCTAGATATTTTCTACTCGCCTGGACCATCGGTCCAGAGGTTTTTTTTTTGCTCGATCGGTCTCGCTATGGTCCAGAACGGTCGGTCTATGTGCTAGACCGATCGGTCTAGACATATTCTTCCTTCCTCTTGTCGTTTTCTCGTCTTTTCCCATCTCGTTCGCTCGGGTGGTTTTCGGGCCTCTTCCCAACCTTAGTGGTTCATTTCTTAAGGTTTAGTACCCGTTTATATAATTGTTCTTCTCCGAAATTTATTAAATATCCCAAATTGGATTCAGATTATTACAAATCTTTCCCCCTTAAAGAGAATTCATCCCCGAATTCGGAATTACATGATGTCGTCAATTCACTTGCATTCATAGCACAATACCCAACACCTCCATTACAGCAGTGTCATACATCAGATAGAAATTCCATACGATCCATTGTCATACACAAGAGTTTGTACAACATCAAGTGAAAAGGTAGGGGTAGTTACTACGCATCTCTTCCTCGGTTCCCAAATCATGTCCGAGGCCCCTTGACTTCTCCACAACACCTTTACCAATGGCACTTCCTTCATCCTCAGCTTCTCAACCTTCCGGTCCATTATCTGTAGCGGTTCGTCTCGAAAACGCGTAGCATTCGTGAATTCTAACTCCTGAGGCTGTAGCACATGGGTCGGCTACGTATCTTCGTAGCATCAACACATGGAACACATCGTGGATGTTGCCCAGCTCTGATGGTAACCCAAGACGATATGCTACTGCGCCTACCTTTCCAATCACCGGGTAAGGCCCGATATATCGCGGTTTCTGTTGGAATGTTGGAGAAAAAGATCGAGATTGCTCGGACTCGATCACAGAATGTCTCGCAGACGAACAAACTCGGACACGAACACAAATGATGACACATCAAGTCTTGGACTTTCTTGGCTCAACGATCCCATTCACTAATGCAAGACTTGGACAAAACTTGGGCCAAAAGCCCAATTCGATTATGAGAAGCTAACAGACAAAATCAAATCAAATATCTTCTTCATGATTTCATGCATGCGTTATGTCGACATTTCCTTTTGTCGTATCTTTTACCGTTGTGCTTATTTCCTTGTTTGTTTTTATTTTATTTTTTCTATTTTATTGTCCTCTACGTATATATATAAGCGATACGGTGAATAACAATAAAAGTAACTATTTCATCAAAATCCTCTTGTCTTCTTCGTGTTCTTCTCTTAGGCGTGCATAACCATCTTATTTTCTTGTCTACTCAATCAAATTCATCTCTAAAATACTAAATACTTCATGGTATCAGAGCATAAGGTCTAGAGGACCTTGTGTTTTTTTTTTAATTCCGCTGCGAAATCGAAGCATATTCCCTCTCGTTTGTGAGTCTACCGAAGAGGAGCTTGCTCATTTTATTTTTCAGATTTTTGTTATCCTTTTTGGTCATTCAGTCAAACCAAAAGGAGAGTTTTCTTCAAGTGAATCGTTGGCCATTCATTCAAGTCACGATTCACCATATTTTTCTTGTCTCTCTTGGTCTTTTCATCTCAAACCGAGAAGTTTTTTTTTCCTATCCCTTTATCACCAATATGTGTGAGTATTGCGATAGTGATTGTGAGTACGAAGAGGTTTATGATGAACCAAAATACAGAGAGCATTGGGATGTCGAAGATGTCTTAGCCAAAATACCGAAGTCCATAAGAGAGACGTTGGTGCAAAACGCCGATGCAAACAACATCAAGTTAAGTATTTCTCTTCTTGAAGAATTATTTCGAACTAAAGAATTTTTTGAAATGGTGCAAAAGGTACAGAAGGAAAGCAACGAAAACCTCTCTAAAGATGTCGAAGAGGTTCATTCAATTGCTCAAAACTTTAAAGAGACGGAGACAATGCATGGAGAACTACAAACCAAGTATACAAAACATGAGACGGACCGAGACTTGGATGCAACAACCTCGGAAAAAGAAGAAGGAAGAGAGACGGATGTGATGGTGAATGATCCCAAAATGGAGGCAATGAACCCCGGAAAAGAGGCATCACACTCATCCGACATAACTCTTCATTCGGGCATAACAAAGAATCCGAGCATCCCCTTCACATGGAGAGAAAATCGAGTTTATCTTTTGATTTTTGTGTTCCAAATAATATGCTTGGTATTTTTAGTGTTTATGAACAGAAAATAAAACAAATAATCATGAGGCCTCAATATGTCAAGAAGCTCACGAGTGAGGGGGAATGTGATGATACACTCGTACGCTTCTCTACCAAGAAAATAATACAAGCATCCGAAGAACAAAAAGAGATGGCATTATCTATGAGTTCCTACAACTCTAGGTTTGGTAAAATCACTTTTGAACATCTTGTCTTTTATCCCGTTGATAATGTTTATGTGTTGCAAAATGGAAAAGAAGACATATTTGTCCGAAATACGTTTGACCATGAAAAAGATATATCCGGCGACATGTTTTTTTGTATTCAATATAAATTTGAATAATATGCTAAGTCTAGAATATAAACCACACGTGAATCCACTCTTACAAATAATGTCTCATGTGTTAAGAACATTGAACTTAGCATTTAAGAATATTAAGACGTTATTTTTGCTATTGTTTAGTGAAAGACATGCCATCACATTGTTACATTTGGATTATTGTTTCAAACGGAGTGTCATGACCTCCCTTGTGTTATCTAACTATTGTTTTGAGTGTATACAGAAAATAAATGCTAAACAAACGTGTATAATAGTGAAAAAGCCAAAAGAACCACAATGGGATATATTTGCACACTTGAGGGGGAACCAACGCAAACACGGAGATATATATATTCAGCAAGATTAGCTTTTCGATATTCCTCCAAACTAATCTTGAGGGGGAATGTTGGAATGTTGGAGAAAAAGATCGAGATTGCTCGGACTCGATCACAGAATGTCTCGCAGACGAACAAACTCGAACACGAACACAAATGATGACACATCAAGTCTTGGACTTTCTTGGCTCAACGATCCCATTCACTAATGCAAGACTTGGACAAAACTTGGGCCAAAAGCCCAATTCGATTATGAGAAGCTAACGGACAAAATCAAATCAAATATCTTCTTCATGATTTCATGTATACGTTACGTCGACATTTCCTTTTGTCGTGTCTTTTACCGTTGTGCTTATTTCCTTGTTTGTTTTTATTTTACTTTTTCTATTTTATTGTCCTCTACGTATATATATAAGCGATACGATGAATAACAATAAAAGTAACTATTTCATCAAAATCCTCTTGTCTTCTTCGTGTTCTTCTCTTAGCCGATGGCATAGCCATCTTATTTTCTTGTCTACTCAATCAAATTCATCTCTAAAATACTAAATTCTTCAGTTTCAACTTACCGCCTTGACCAAACCTAGCGTGCCCTCGCATAGCTTGAACTCGGAGGAATGCTTGATCCCCAACTTCAAGGGTAAAGTCCCGTCTCCTCTAGTCGGCATATGATTTTTGTCGATCCTGCGCTGTTTTCAGGTTGATCCGAATCTTTCGAATCACCTCCGTAGTCTCTTCCACAATCTCAGGCCCGAATTCCCGTCTCTCTCCAATCTCTGTCCAACATAAAGGCGTCTTGCATGGTCTCCCATATAGTGCCTCATACGGTGGTACTCCAATACTCGCATGGTGACTGTTGTTGTATGCAAACTCGCACAACGTCATGTATTGATCCCACGGAGCTCCCCATTCCAATATACATGCGCGAAGCATATCCTCCAAAGTCTATATCGTCCGTTCCGACTGTCCATCTGTCTAGGGATGATATGCCGTACTCATCTTCAGCTTTGTCCCCAACGCATCCTGTATTGCCTTCCATAGGCGTGACGTAAATCGAGCATATCGGTCCGAGATGATCTCACTCGGCACCCCATGTAGTCTCACAATCTCGTCAATGTAGATTTGCGCAAACCGCTCGATCGGATACTCCAGGCGTATAGGGAGGAAGTGAGCAGATTTGGTTAGTCGATCCACACTACCCAAATAGCGTTCTTCTTCCTTGGGGTAAGTGGTAACCCGACTGCAAAGTCCATAGCGATCGAATCTCACTTCCACTACAATATCTCCAACGGCTGCAATTTCCCTCCCGACATCTGTCGCTCTGCTTTCACCTGTTGGCAAGTGAGACATCTGGCTACATAGTCGGCAACGTCCCTCTTAATCTTTGGCCACGTGTACCATCAGCGTAGCCCCTGATACATCTTACTTGCCCCTGGATGCATCGCTAGTCTTGTTTGATGTGCCTCAGCTAATATCTCTTGTCTCAACGCGGGGTCATCTGGCACATATAGCCGGTTTCCCAAATGCAGTGCTCCTTTCTCGTCAATGCGGTAGCCCTTAGGACTATATTCCTTGATTCGATCTCGGTACCGTGATAGTAAGGGATCACTGGGTTGTCCCATGATTACTCGTTCCACCAGCGTCGGAGTTGGTTCCTCCCGCTCCAACGTCAAATGCCCCAACATCGCAGTCAACTCTGCGGTGTTGCTGCGAGATGAAGTCACTGTACGGATAGTAGCCAAGATCCGCTTCCGGCTGAGTGCATCTGCTACCACGTTAGCTGCTGGGTCACACGGGATCCTAGACCGCCGGTTCAAAACCGTGCTAGGATCTGGTCCGCGGGCTTACGCAGCAGAATTGACGTTCAAAACGATTTTAAACCGCCCATGGACCAATCTTTCGATGAAGAACTTTCTTGAGAGAACAACTAACCTTTTGATTCACAATCTCAAAGGTTGGCTCTATCACAGCCTAGGTGTTGAAATAGCCAACACCCTCTTGAGCAGTCCACACCTTGGAATGGATTCCAACACTTGGAATCAAGCTTGCTAGAGCTCAAGAGATCCAATCTATTGTATGAGTGTTCAAGAACACTTGGGAGAGTTTCTCTCTCTCTCTAAACCTTCCCTCACGTCTGAGAATGATTGAGAGAGAGTGTTAGTTCGTCCCACCTGCTTCCCACTAAGAAAAAGGGGAAGAAAAGATGCACTTTTGGTTTTTGACGCTTGGTCCGGGGCTGACCAACGTTTGGTCTGCCGGACCAAGATGCAAAACTCGCAGAATAGTTTGGTCAGGTTCTTGGTCCGGAGCTGACCAACATTTGGTCAGCCGGACCAAGATCTTTTCGTTGCCGACAGTCCGATATTGTCGCGATCGGGCGGACCAGAAAATTGGTCCGCCGGACCAGCTGAACTCCGGACCGTGCCCTCAGTCCGCCTGACCTTCTGGTCCGGCGGACCAAGATTTCGATCCGTCGGACCAGCCGAACTCCGAGCTAACGCGAAAACGCTCAGCCTGACTGGTCTGGTCCGCCAGACCAACATTTGGTGAGCTCCAGACCAGACCAGTTTTTCGACCAATTATTTCATTTCTCCCAAGTCTGTCTGGTTTGACTGACCAACTCTTGGTCAGCTCCGGACCAGACCTCAAAGACGAAGAAAAATCCGATTTTTCTCGTTCGTTCGATCCCGTCCATACATGTCCATCCCATATGTGTGTGACCCTTTAGACTCCTCCGAATACGGCAGTAAACGCGAGATCCAATCTCGCTTTACAAATCATAAGCGGTCTCTAGCAAGACATTATGATTACCCGTATCGGAAAGAGTTAGATGTGATCTAACCGAACAGCCAGAGATAGCTCCAATGATGATCATCTTTGTCTCACGATATCATAATCGAACTCATAGTTCGAATGCTTTGTCGTATCCCGAGTAGACTGTAAGAGATAGATGACATTCATCTATAGTGCGGCCACACATTTCTACAGTCTCACTCCTACGACGGGCCCAAGCGATATCTCTCTCTTTCGAGAGGGACAAAGTACCATCTCGACTATCTACTATCCATTACATGATTCATAATATACCCGAGCGACGCCTTTATAATCATCCGATTAAAGACGACGTTTGACGCAGTCAAAGTACATTACTCGTCATGATGGATACAACAGATATCTCAGATCTGAGGATCTAAAGCGAACCATCAAGTGAGATTCAAGTCATGGATTAAATCCAATTGACAATCTCACGCGAGTCATCCAGTCACTTGTTCCAAACAAGTACTCATG